GATCGCTCACGTCACGCAGAAGGTGCGCGACTGCACTGATCTCTATGGCATAGTTTGAGGCGGTTGCTTGGTGACGCATGACTTGGAGATCTGATTGGCTGCGCAGGTTTGTGTGTGATTGAAGAATGCTGGGTTGCGTACTGCGTGGACGTACAATGACGAGGCCCGTGTAGGGTAGAGAGCGCGCCGCTCACGGGGGCCCATCAGGGTATGGGCTTGAATGAATATGACCGACGTTTTCATTGATTTTGACGTAAACTTCACTGGACTGTGTTATTTCCATTTTCCCACCTTTTCCAGTGTATTCAATAGCTCCATCTATTGAAAGCTCCAGACATATATAAAAATGTTTTTTTTTAGCAAATATTTTATTCCAGTAATTCATTAATAATTCTACAATTATTAATTACATTAATTACCACGACAACCATCCAAGACTGAACGTGCTTTTTGTGTATCCTGCTTGAAGTAGATGAAAATATTATGCATCTGAAGCTGATCTAGGAAAATGTGTGCAAATGTATATTTTGCTGTATATATATTTCCTATATTTTGCCTGGGGCCCCCAATTCACTAAATCTGCCCCTGAATATATACAGTTCGTTTGCTGGCTTCCATGGCCATGGCCAGGACAAATGATCAGTAAAATAGATTTGCATCATTAAATCCAAAGGGAAGGGGAAAGCTTGATAGTAGGGCTATGCGCGTTAAATATCGCATGCGATTAATCGTGCAGCCCTACTTGATAGTTTTGGCCAGATTGAAAAAAAAAAACAGCCAGAAATAGAAGCAAAATTTTTAAAATGTGAATGTTTGATAACCAACCTGCAGAAGCAGGGGCGGATTTAGTGAATTGGGGGCCCCAGGCAAAATATAGGAATGGGGCCCTATACATTTTCACACATTTTCCTAGATCAACCTGGAGGTTCCTTTTTTGTTGTGATGCTTGCTGCTGCACAATGGTTCCCCATAGTTGTGTCCAATATTTCTACATTGTCTGATATGTGAATTATTTATTAGCCTATTTTTTTTTACTTGTTTTGTACGCCCGCCTTAAGCCTCGCCCACTCCTGACAGCGAAATGGATATGTTTGCGTGACTTTCTAACAGTTACAGATGAAAAATATACATGTGACATGTCAGTTATGCACTGAGGAAAACACAATGTCTCAAATGCATTAAACAGCACAGATATAGTCACTGTTTGCAATGGTGAATCGATTTGATCCATGATCGACATTAAGAGCTGCTTAAAGGGTTAGTTCACCCAAAAATGAAAATTCTGTCATTAATTACTAACCCTCATGTCGTTTCAAACCCGTAAGACCTTCGTTCATCTTTGGAACACAAATTAAGATATTTTTGATGGAATCTGAGAGCTGTCTGACCCTGCATAGACAGCAACGCAACTGAAATGTTCCCAAGTCCATAAACGTAGGAAGGAGATCTGTAAAATAATCCATGTGACATCCGGGGTTCAACCATAATTATATGAAGCTACGAGAATACTTTTTGTGTGCAAAAGAAAAAAAATAACGACTTTATTCAACAATTCGTCTCCTCCGCATCACCCTGGTGCCATTTTGGAGAATATCCACTGGACGTAAAACAACAAAAGTATTCTCGTAGCTTCGTAATTTTACGGTTTAAACGACATGAGTGTGAGTAATTAATGACATAATTTTCATTTTTGGGTGAACTAACCCTTTAAAGGGGTCATATGATGTTGCTAAAAAGAACATTAGTTGTGTATTTGGTGTAATGAAATGTGTTTATGCGGTTTAAGGTTGAAAAAACACATTATTTTCCACATACTGTACATTATTGTTTCTCTTCTATGCCCCCCCTTTCTGAAATGCCTTGATTTTTATAAAGCTCATCGGTCTGAAAAACGAGGTGTGCTCTGATTGGCCAGCTATCCAGTGCGTTGTGATTGGCCGAATACCTCAAGCGTGTGACAGAAATGTTACGCCCCTACCATACTGTGATGCCCTGTCCGGACGGAGCGACGAGACAAAAACATTAAAACCCATTATAAACGAGGCATAGTAAGGTAAATGTGTTGTTTCAGTTTCTGAATAATACAGGTTTAATGAAGAGAATGTAGAATAAGTATATGAGGTAGAAGATGTGGGTAAGATACTGACATAGTCATTAATCGCCGTTCTAATCTAATGCGCTGCTGCACTGTAACGCACACACATAGGCTACAAACAGTAGCGCATACATCACGCGCACATAATCATTCAGCGCGGAAATGCTCCAGACTTATTTGTTCATTATTTCTCAATAAAATAGCTTAGCGACTTCGACTCGACTTTCATCACATAAAAGTCGACTTTAAAAAAATCTGAAGTCGTTCAACCCTTTATATATACATATATATATATACACATACATATATATATATATACACATATACACATATATATATACACATATACACATATATATATACACATATACACATATATATATACACATATACACATATATATATACACATATACACATATATATATACACATATACACATATATATATACACATATACACATATATATATACACATATACACATATATATATACACATATACACATATATATATACACATATACACATATATATATACACATATACACATATATATATACACATATACACATATATATATACACATATACACATATATATATACACATATACACATATATATATACACATATACACATATATATATACACATATACACATATATATATACACATATACACATATATATATACACATATACACATATATATATACACATATACACCTGATATCGCGTTTGGTCTCATTCTGTATCGCGTATCTTGTCAGTGTCTGCGCTTGCTTGGTCATTTGTTGTGGAGAAAATAAGGAAAGTATGTCCAGCTGAATTAATGTAGTATTATATATATATATATGTATGTGTGTGTGGTTGTGAGCCCAGTAGATATAACTGCAGACCGGTTTATAAGCTACATTGATTTCAGTTATTTGTGCTCTTCATTTGTAGCTTGCGATGCTTTAAAACTGTGTCTGTTATTAGTGGTTATCATTTTTTGAATACATCACTGCCTGCAACAAATGAAATAAACCTATAAACGTATCTGTGGACATTTTTTTATTTTTTAGTATACTGGTGTGATGATCCATGTCTTAACTTACCCCGTTCAACATTCTCCATGTTGTCTGGTTGTGAATTGTCTGCTGTCTAGTTGTAAACTATGGTACAATCATACACTGCTGCAAAAACATGTTGCTGAAATTTCTTTCTTTTTTTTCATGTTTCCAATGTAAAATATTAAACATTTTTACAAATTTTTGCTACCTACACTGATGTTATTCTGTGTCATCTGTTCTCTGACCATGTGTTGCACTGTACCTGGATGATACACGATGATCATAAGTTTTAAAACGGTTTTCTGGCAATGAATGAAATACCATTCACCACCATATCAGTGGCCTAATAAACATTTTGCAACCTACACTGATGCTATTCTCTGTCATCTGTTCTTTGACCATGTGTTGCACTGTACCTGGATGATACACAATGATGATCACTGATAAAAATGCATGGTCTATTTTGATGCAAAACAAACACTCATGCAACATTTTTTATAGGCTAAGTCATAAAGTTTAATAAACATATATACTCTTAATTAGGCTTTTTTTATATATATATATATATATATATACATAAACTGTTCCCTCCTGGTGGAATGACCTGCCCAACTCAATTCGAGCAGCTGAGTCCTTAGCCATCTTCAAGAAACAGCTAAAAACACATCTCTTCCATCTATATTTGACCCTCTAACACTTGCACTCTCTATTCGTTTTCCAACTGCTTGTTTCCTTTAAAAAAAGGCCTCTTAACACTAGCTCTCTCTATTCTTTTTCTATTCTATCTACTTGTTTTCTTTTTGTTGTGTATGTGTGTTGGTGTGAATGTTTGATATTATGTGAGACAGTGACATTTTGTTTTTAAAAATATGAATTCAATAGAGATTCACACTCAAAATCCAGGAAATTTTAGTCATGGAGGATGCGATTAATAAAGTAAAGTATTATTGGTCAGCATTTATCATTATTATTGTTCATAAGTGTTGGGGTGGGCTAGCAATGCATTCTGGGGTAATCTTAACTTCTAAGTAGTAATACTTCAATTTTCTGAGTGTAAAATTAACAGTCTTCTCCAAAGGCGAGATCTTCTAGCAGCTGATCGACGTCTCCTTCGTGCAGATATTACAAATATTGCAAACGCCGAGGAAAACTACTAGGCAGTGTTGTGGAGTTACTGATGCTATGAGGTGTTAGTGCAGCTGTCGATCTTATGTTCTTTTTTTATTAATAATTCAGGACTTATAATTACATACAAGCTCAGTGTATCTCTAAAGTGTATCTTTAACAAAACTAGATATTATGCAAGCTAAAGCACTAAGATTGGTTCTAGGAGCAGTTAAGACGACACCAATTGCAGCAATACAGGTGGAGTCCTCAGAAATGCCTCTACATTTAAGAAGAGAAAAACTAGCCATGGCATATTGGATTAATCTTCAGGGCCAAAGAGAGGATCATCCTGTAAGAGAAGTACTTAATGAAAGTTGGGAAACAGTAAATAAACCAGGTAAAGGATTTGCATGGAAAATTAAGAAATTGATCAATGAAACTGGAATAGAATCAAATAAATTTGCATCGGTAATAGTAACTCCTCCAATAGCACCTTGGTTATTAGAACAACCGGAAGTTGACTTAAATGTACATAAATAAATTAAGGGAATGGGGGAGGGGTTTAATTTAAAAGCATATGTCAAAGAATATATAAAAAGTATGCATTATTCATTTCTCCAAATTTACACAGATGGATCAAAGAACATAGAAACTGGAAGGACAGGTGCTGCATTTTGCATTCCAGAATTTCAGGTTAGGAAGGCTGGAAGAATTACGGATGGTACTTCTGTATATACAGCAGAGATGGTAGCTATCCTTATGGCATTAGAGTGGGTATATGAAGTAAGACCGGATAAAGTAATAATATGCTCTGACTCAATGGCAGCTCTTATGAGTTTACAATCATGGCAATCAAATAGAAAAGACATTTTAATAGAAATCATGATTACACTATATAGTATTAAACAGATAGGGATAATTACTCGGTTTATATGGGTACCTGCACATGTGGGAATTCAAGGTAATGAAGAGGTAGATAAAATGGCTAAAGAATCCTTAAATATGGATGATCCAAGTATAAATATTGCACTCAGCAGAATAGAAGGGAAACAGTTAATATTAAATGCATGCAATATTGTATGGCAGATATACTGGGACTCATGTCAAACAGGTAGGCATTATCACAAAGTACAAAGGAGTATAAAGAGAAGAAAAATCATTCATAACATAAGTAGAAGGGAACAAGTCATTTTAACACATATACGAACAGGACATTCAAATCTTAACCAAACACTATACATTATAGGGAAACATAATACTGGTCTATGTAATGTTTGTTTAACAGAGGAATCAGTGGAACACGTTATGATGGTATGTACAGCATATGAAAGAGAAAGGGATCGACTTAAAGATGAATTACAATCCTTAGGAGTTAAAGAATTTTCATTAAGTAGTATTCTGAATGATGGTCCAAATGCAGGAAAACAAATAAGTGCAATCATGAGATTTCTTAAGAATTGTGGAATAATTAACAGAATTTAAGATTTAGGTGAGAAAAGGTACATTCTCTTCACACTCCATCACAGTAGGTGGCGGCATGCACCTATTAAGTTGGTTCGCAACCCGCCATAAAACCAAAAGAAGAAGAAGATGCCTGGATCGCATTCGAGATTTGGCTGTAGAGTACCTACTCTTTTAGCGCTCGTTAAGTAAGTACTTAATGAAATTAAGTACCTACTCATTGAGTAGGCGGTTTCGGACGCAGCCAATCTGTGGTGAACGTCTTAAAAGATTCTTTCGTTTTTTAGTATACATATAATTTCTTAAATTTTTTGGAATAATCATTTTTCCGGATAACAATATATAAACCAAAGTATATGGGGGATTATGTAGAGCTTGTTTTCACATGGATCCACCGTTTTTCTGAACTGATATCTGAGGCTCTGTTTATAGCCTACTCCTGACCATTCCCATTTGTTTTTCAGCTCCGGTCTTTACGACTGACTGTCCGTATCGTAATTTGTAGATAAGTTACGTATTTAAATGTGATTTTAGGGAATTGGTTGCTGTAGTAGGCTAGATTGTGTACAGGCTGGCAGTATGGAGAAAACAACTTGCGTTAGCTTCTCTTTTTGAACTAGCCTTATATTAATGATCATTAGATTTATTTGTACTTGGTGGAATTTGTTTGTACGGAAAGCAGTTTTTCTAAAAAAAAATTTGAAAACAAACTTGAATTTGCATGTTACCAGCTCTTGACCCCACGATCCCACACGTGAGAATGAAACGCTTATCTGACGATTTAGGCTTTATGCCGAAAGTCACATGATAGATATGCTCTCTGAATGTATCAGTTAAAAGTAGCTATTTATTTTTATTGCTGGCGTTTAATATCCAAATGATAGTGAGAAGACCGAATAAAAGTAAAAAAAATAAAAATCTGCACATGCGATGGACATAATCTTTGGTAGCTCATTTGAAGGCAACTTGAGGAAAACAGCTCCATATTTAATGTAGCATGTGCAAAAAAAAATCTGAACCGGACAATAACAAAGTTCTGCTCTGCAGGGATGAGGATGACGAATAGCAGAGTCCACACCACCGCTATAACGATAAAGGCACAGAGAAACGATATTGTTGGAATAATTTTCTGAACGATTTTTTTCCCAGCTGATGAACGATAAAATCATTGACAGCCAATCAGAATCGATCCTGCTATAACGAGCTCGAGAATTTAAAGCAGCAGACGAGCATGTTAGAATAAACAGACGATAAAGTTCGCTGGTGTGTACGCTAATGTCATTATCTTTGTAGTTACGTCGAAGTAAAGTTAAATCATTTTACACACTTAAGTGGTCAGGTTTGATTAAGAATGTCTTTACATTTATTAATTCTTAATAAAATGTGTGCATATTTGGTGTGTTTTGTTCAGAACTGAAAAAGTAATCAAGCTTGTTCCTGAAAACCTTCTCAAGAAACGCAAGGCATACCAGGCTATCAAAGCTACTCAAGCTAAACTTGCGTTACAGCAGAAGAGAAAAGTGAGAATTCTTTCTCAATAACCTGCTTTTATGAATAGTCCAATAATTGCTTCAGAACAAAGCTGAAATTGTCAAAACTTGACCAGGTTCAAAAAGGAATTCCCTTGAAGTTTAAGCGCTTGGAGGAGTTTTTGAAAAACAGCAAGAGGAAGAGTCGAGATGGGACACGACTCGCCAGACTCAAACATAGACCTCCGCCGCCCATGCCGCCAGCAAAGAACAGCCTGGTGTTTGCTGTCCGCATCAGAGAGTAATGCGGACTTATGCATCATTCACAACGAGGTTAAAGGGATCGATCACCCAAAAATGAAAATTCTGTCATCATTTACTCACCTTCATGTTGTTCTACACCTGATGGAAAAAGTACACTTAGACTCAACTGATATTTATTATGTGAACAAAAACACATACTGTATCTGTTGTGAAATGTTTGACAGTAAGATGAAAGAGTGAAATGATTTTCATTTGTGGGCAAACTATTCCTGTAAGAATACTTTAAGACTATTCCTTTATTGATTGTTCCACATCTGCTTGAAAAATTTTTGTAGTTTAAAATTCTCTTATGATTGCTTGTAGGGTCAAAGGTGTGAGCCCCAAAGTGATCAAGGCCATTCAGATGCTGAGGCTAAGGAAGATCTTCAGTGGCACCTTTGTGAAAGTCAGCAAGGCTTCTATAAAAATGCTTAAGTCTGTGGAGCCTTATGTTGCATGGGGGTGAGTAATCATAAAATGTCCATTTTACTTAAAAAAAAATATCTGAACAGATTTAAAAAACACCAGATCTGCAGATTGGCATTGGCGTTGACTTTCAGCAACTGTTGTTGAGTCTTCCAGACTGTAAATCGGGACAAAAAACTGCAAAAGTTGTGTAGCATATTCCAGCGTTTTAGGCTTTTTTGGATTTAAAAGGCTGGCAGTGTTTTTTTTGTCTTTCTTTTAGTGAATTTCACTTGTTTTATTTATTGTTGTGTTATCTTAACAGTTATCCCAACTTGAAATCAGTCCGTGAACTCATATTGAAAAGAGGTCTGGCGAGGATTGATAAGAGGAAGATTCCTCTGACCGACAATACAATCATAGAACAGCATCTCGGTAAGTAATTGGGACATGGTAGATACATTTCATTCAGTGGGAGATTGGGGATTTTGGAGGACCTAACAGAAAAGAATGAACTTTAACAAGTAAAAGGAATTATGTAATCCGTTTTTTGCAAAAAGGGGGCAGTGTAAACTATATTGGACCTGACAGCAATCGTGTTGGGAAAAAGGACAGTACAGGGTTTCCGCGGGGTCTTAAAAAGTCTTAAATTGTACAAGAAAGTCTTAATTATGATTTCAAGATGTCATTGCCATGCATTATAAGACTGATAGACTGCAACGGTTGGACTTAAAAATCGTCAAATGTGTTCTACTGAAGAAACAAAGTCACCTACATCTTGGATGCCCTGGGGGTAAGCAGATAAAGATCAAATTTTCATTTTTGGGTGAACTATCCCTTTAAATTTGGGGACGGAAAGACCAGAATTGCGATATGGCTCAATGTGACAATTAAACTTCAAAAGGCTATGATTTCATTAAATGCTGCAGGTTCATAGTCCGGTGCTGCGCTGCTTTGTGTTCTGCCATTATCGGAGAAACCGTTATATTTCTACCAAACGCACCACCTGCTGGCAGAGAAAGCAAACAAAACACACCTACAGAGTGCATGCATACATTACGTGATAAAGTCTAGTAAAGTTAACCGGTTAAACTAGTGCACATACGCATTTAGAGTGCCTTCTTTCACTGCATGAATCAGTCTATTAAAATGCATTTAGAATGATCACATAATTCAAGATATAGG